AAAAATAATATATAAAAAAACTCTCTATAAAAATATATATATATATATATATATATATATATATATATATATATATATATATATATATATATGCTAGCAATATAGCCGCGCTTCGCAGCGGAGAGCCCTTTTAAAGAAACAAAAAGGACGAAATTATCAAGTATCCGCATATTCTGGAGATTATACAATGCATTCCCTTGCGAAAATCAAACCTGCCTCAAATCAATGCCAACTTTTTGTGGGGTCTGTCCTTGGGACCCCGATTCTGGTAAGACCCCAATTCTAATGAGTCCCTTATTCATTCTGAACCCGATCCCGGCGCAATCCATTTTCCCGGTTTTATCCCGTTCCTAGTGGAATCCTATTTCTTTGTGGCTCCGGATCCAGGGGGAATCCAGATCCCATTGGGATCCCGATCCCGTCGGTGTCTTGATCCCAGGGAGATCCTGATCTCAGTGGATCCCGATGCGCTACCGATCCCGTTAGGATACCGTTCATTGAGGGATCCCGTTCCACCTATGGACTCTCTTTTCGGATGTTATCCCTTTTCCTGATGGGATCCTGATCATGGTTTGAGCCCGTTACCCGATGGGATCTCGATGTTATCCTGTTCCCCGATGGAAACGCGTAACCGATGTGACCCATTAGGATCCTGTTTCTCTATGGGATCATGCTCAGTGCGATTTTGTTTGAATAAGCTTTTAGATCTAATTATATATCCCTGTACAAACAATATAGAACAGTCTAGATTAAATTTAATATCCTCCATGAAGCGTGTAAAAATTACATTTCTACGTAATTATTTCTCGAATGCGAAATATTATACAACTAAATTGTGCTACTAACTATAATACATTTAAATTGATATGGGGGCCCCGTTGGGGGCCTATTTAATAAAGTACCGTTTTATATATGTCTGAGATGGGGGGAAGCCTACAAAAATCATTGAGATAAATTATAAATTGAAAACTTGTCCAATTAAAAGTGGTTAACCAATGCCATAGACATCGCTCTTTAAAAGTATCGGAGTTTCTAGAAAACTCTAGATCGGCCTTGAATGGATTGGATATTAAATCAAACGATATTTTAAAACGGACTAAGAATGATTTTGCTACAAATCTAGGCCTAAATCAAACTAATCTCATAGAACCTATGGCGTTGTCTAACCCTATTTATATTTATAGAGCTTATATTAGGAAAAAAAATGAAATGGAGCCCCCGGCCCCAGAGGTATGGATATTTTCAGTTCAGTACACTTTGTTATTTGAGTATGGATAATCAAGATTATGTGTCTTCAGTTTGGTCAAGATCCATCTATTCATGTAGCAGTACTAAGCCTATTGATATTTATATAGCTTAAATA